CATACATCCACAAATATTTTGTGCAATCCAATTCTCTATACTTAAACGCGCGCGTCTCTTGAATGTTTTTTAAAATGAAATGGAATTCACTAAACATTATTCAACTTCTTCGTGTGTAGAAAAATTCAAAATTGATGCGACTACTTACTGATATTCGTGAAGCAGACGTTGACACTAGCACCAGCAGTAGCAACAACAGCAACAACGGTGTTCTAACGAATAGTGAGAAAAGACCGAGATGAAAGAATGAGACAGATATGGGTGAGGGAAAAAGAAATATAACTGGAAAGAATATAATCTTAGATCGTGCATCATTCGACTTGAGTGTTTTGTGAATTGAATCTACTTGGTGCATATATGGTTCGTTCGCGATCTTTTCCTACTTTCATTTCCATTACACATTGTTGAAAACATACTAACGTACTCACTGACTCCCCTTCTCTCTCTCTCTTTCTACCATACAAAAGTTGCAGAAAAGCCGTTGCATCGACCAATATGCATAAATATATTTTTTTTTAAATGTGTGTAACGAAACCGAAGCGAATGTTATAAAAGTAGAAGACAAGTAGAATTGTATTGGCGAAGGAAAAATGGAAGAATTCAAAGTGCTCCATATTCTGCATCATCTATGTCATTCGTATTTCTTTTTAGATGCATTACATAAAAAAAACGAAATAATAGCACATTCTCAAAGTAAAAGCTGAAGAAAAAACTAGCGGCTAAGAATGTGAATGAATGAATGATAAGAGAGAGCGAGAGAGAACGGGACATAGAAATGGATAGATAGAAAAAAGAGTAAATAGATCAAAACAGGAAGACTGAGTAGTTGCAACCTCAATGGAAATGCGAGAATTGTATAACTTGTGCTAACATTTTGGCTAATGCAGTAGAATCAGCAGAGTACGGCATCATCACACACAAACACAAACACACATGGGTGCAACGAAAGTTTAGGCTTGAAACATTCGCGACGCATGAAACACACTTTGTCATATGACACAAACCACACGCGCATAGAGAAAAGTTGTCGCTTAAAATAAACGACAACGATGAAGACGACAAGAGAGAGACACCGAAAATAAAAGAAATAAATGGAGAAAGAGAGTTGTCTCTTTCTTTTGCTTTGTCCCTCTCTTCCGTTTTCGTTTAATGCCATGCAAAGAAAGTGAATTGTTTTTTTATTGTTGTTGCTGTGTTGTGCAGTTGTGCATTTTGTGCCATTTTCGTGAAGCGCGTTTTCTGTATCGTTTATCCATTGTCGAGTATCGACTAATGTGTATATATACGCATACAAAGTTCTATTACAAACAATGGTAATGTATCTCTCTGTAGTGTCGGTTGAATGGGTCAGGAAGAGCAATGCAATGAATATAAACCTGCCAACAATTTTCTAACAAGAATGGAACTGAAGATATAAAGAAGAAAAAAATGAGAAGAAGAGAGTGGGAAAATGAAATCGGCTGATGCATTGATGAATATTTGTCATGTCATTTATAAACGAAATAATCACAGTTTTCCATCGAATTCCGTTTAAATTGATCGATATTTTTTTTTTTTGCTTTTCCGTCTCCATGTTTCTTGGATACCTCTTTTCGAAACCAAAATGAAATCATGTAGTAAACCAGCATTTCAACTGCCATTTATTGCACAATTTAATATTTCATATGAATGCTATTACTGATAAACATGATACGTACGGTTTTATTTACAAAACCATACGATATTTGCAATTTTCGAATTATGTCCGAATGGAAAATTGAATTACAGAATAACAAATACGTGAATGTGTGTATGTAAATAGCGAAAGAGAGAAAATGGAAACAGACAGTCGACGAAAAAAAAATCACAACGTTTTCGCTGGCATAACCACATGCCAACAGCCCAAGAATAAACAGACTACTTCAATTTTTCGACAAACGCAGACTTTTGAATCGTGATTTGTTCTGCTCAATTAACGAAGAAGATATGCGCACCGCACCGGTCTCGCAATGCGGATCATTCATCAAGCACCGTTCTTCTGAATAAATAAACGGTTTTTGTTCGGTTGTATACAAAACGTAAGAAAATTTATGCTGGATGCTCCTCTAGAAATCATTACTTGCAAAAATGTGCGGCTAAAGCTTAAGCAAAACCAAAGCCAACGGAATTTTCTTTTCATTGCTTCTAAAAAATGTGTGTATGTATTCTAAGCTCATATTAAGCATTCTGTGCATTATATTACGCGTTGTATGCCAGCAGCCCTGTTCTACTCATTTTCTCTCGCGCTCTCTATTTTCATTCACCCTTCGTCGTTTCTTTTGAGAAACGTTAAATTTATGTACACGAAATATAATATATAGAGATACCACAAAAAGTAAATAAATAATCAACGCGAAGGCACACAGAATTAACATAAATATGTGTAAAATCAGTTTGGCGAAAATCAGATATGGAAATTTTCTGGCTGTATGGCGAACATCTACCGTATGAGTGTTAAAAGTGGAAAATGAAGACAAACACATACGATACACCAGCGATCAACGATGAAATTTCATTCCAAATGCGCAAGAATAAAAATTAAAACAAAAAAAAAACCATACGAAAGACAAACGGTGCACAAATGATGCGGTCAAAGTCTTATGCAGGTTTGACAAACACACAGATGAAAATGACGTGGAACAATGACAAAGATATGAAGGAAAATATGCTCGTTAGCTCGACTCTCGCCTCTGTTCGTTCTTAATATGGAAGATTTAAATCTTTGGCTAAAACTAAATGAGTTTCAGCTGATGGATAAACATTTGACAACCATTGCTCCAATAAATTATGAAACAAGCATTCGCATTTTATTCGACAGAGATATTATTTACTTTACATAGAGGGAGAAGGAGAGAGTTTCGTCCATAAGTTAAGCGAAATTCCACTCCTAAACGATCTTAAACGTCTTTAAATAGTCCACTTGAGGTGATTTTGTCAAACACACGTGAAAAAAGTCTTTTTTATGAGCCACATGTGAGGAATTTCATCCCAAGTGTATATTGTGTTTTATTTCCGAGAAAAAAACTCTTTTCCCCTAGGGGGTAGACACAATAGAGAATGAATGAATACCAATGAATTGTCATAATACCTATCTATTTTCAAATACGACAATTACTTACTTATTCAAATATTACTTGTATTAAAAATGTGAATACCTTGATTACCAAATGTCAAATTGATATCGGTAATAAATATTTCAAGTTTTTTCCATTTTGTTTTAACATTCACCATTTCGAAATTTATTTTAATTTTTTCTGTTTTCTTTCGATTATTTTTATTAAAATTGTTTTTGCATTTATTAAACCAATTGAAAAAATACACTTAATAGCGTTGAAAAAGTTTTTTTTTAATATTTGGAAGATAATATTCATATGTGCACATTGCGAGACGTTGTTGAATACATTGAAATTTCGTCTAAAACTGTGAATACCAAGAATACCTTCAATTTCGGTGAATATCTCAAGTAATATTCCATGTGTCTACCCCCTAGCTTTTCCCGCTTTTGTCTCTTCAGTTTCTTTGTTTATAGCTTAACGCAAATGAGAACAGCACAATGTGCAGGCACCCAACATTTGTTGATTTGTTCGCTAAACATAATCGTATATGGTTAAGAATTCGCTCACACAATTAAAAGACGTTTTTGAATATATTTAAGTTAAAACACACACACACGTGCACATACCACCACCACCGGTTGAGCTGCAGATTGAATGCTGCCAAATACAAAAGTGGCTCCTTTTCATATATTTTATTATTCATTGGAAGAGCTTGAAATCTCTTTCCATGCTCGGAAGCTTAAGGCATCGACCCAGCTTCATCAAGACACACATATGAATATGAATATGTAGAGTGTAGATACTAGATGTGTATTTAAAATTGATGTACCGTATTTTTATATGATAAAAGAAGAAAAGTTCCGAGAACGTACTCACGTTAGACATTAATTTAAAATAACAACCAAATTAAATTTCTTAATTATTAATAATGTTGTGTATGTTCCATGGTGTTAGGCTTCATATCCCCGATAATTCCATCTGTCGTACATTTACATATGAGTGGAAAAATTTCTAATTTAAATAACCAACAACTTTATATTTACTGAATTTTCGAATGATTTGTGGTTGTATATCTTTCTTTGACAGAATGTATGGTGCCTGATTCTTCAAAGTCATAACGTACAATTGTGTATGTGTGTGTGCGGCTTAAATTTGTCGAAAATAAATGACATCCTAAGCCATATGTGTTTGAATTATGTCATCTTTGCCAATCATCTTAACAAAATATACGAACGCAAAATCTATTTCTCATTCCATTTCATGTTAATATGCCAGTGTATTTCATTCATGTCAAAGCTGAGTACTCAAATCAGTTTGGTTGTCAGATTTCTTTCTTTTTTTTTTAAACAGGATAACAAAAAATAGATGAATTATCGTCGTTACCATCACGAAACGTATTCGTAATCATCGCGCAATGCTCTTTTATACCAACATAATGGATTGTCGCGCGCAAAAGCTTCAACATTTGATTAAATTGACTCGAAATATTTCCCATTTAATAAACGTGGGGAAGCGGCAAAATAATTATATTATGCATTTAATAATCCTTGTTATAGTTCAACGCGCCAAATATTACTTTGGAAATAATAATGTGCCTTTTTTTTCAAAACGAAAAGTTTTTTCCTCACCAAATTTAACCTATTTAATCTAATTGTAAACAGTTGTAAATGCCTATACGAAAAAATTTCAAATGAATTATTAATATTTTATCTCTTTTTCCACTTTATTTCCAGATAATTACACCAATCAAGAAAAGTCAAATGTTTCATCAGTGGTTGAATTTTTCCAATAAACTAATATCGAAACGGTAATTTTCAACATAAACTTTAAATAAGTAATCAAAAAAACACAAAAAAAAATTCCGACGATAATCCAAACTCTAATATACAAACCAAAACTTGGAATTCGAATAAAAAAAAAAAAAAAAAAATTGTCCGTAAAAAGAGTAAAAAAATCATCTGAGTAACAAAAAAGCTCTGCGTGTGGTCTTTATGGATTTTCATTTATATCCAAATGTTCTTCCGTCAAAATTAAAACACAAGGAAGAAAACAAATACCACAACATATTGTTTTCCCTTCATTAAATTTTCATCGTACCGTGATATTATCATACATTTGCTTGCACATTAAGAAAAAGCTCGAACCAATTTATATGTTTTCTGTTCGCATTTACCTTTTTGGGGGTCAGTGTATGTGTTCTTTTTTTCTTTACTTTTTTTCTTCATTTCGTTGAATTGAATTAAATTAAAAGACTAAACGTGCTCAGTCAAAGCGAACATAGAGAAATAAAGAAAGGAAAGGAAAACGAAAAAAAAAGGAGAAAATAATCGAGGGTTATGCGCTGAGTGGTAAAGCTTAATTAATGCTCAATATTGGTGAAAAATCGGTTCGTTTCAATTTCAGTTTTAACAAGTTTTGTGTTGAAGTAGATTCGTGCATGAAATCCACCCGAAACATTCTTAAAACAGACAAAGAGAAAGATAAATTGATATACACTGTAATCATAACGGGATAATAACAATAACCATCATATTAATATGATATAATAAAATAATGGTAATAAAAATTGCCGAGTAATAGAAAAGGTTAATATTCCAAGTGGTCGAGAGAGAGAGAAAAAAAAACGTGGAGCGAACCGGCACAAGAACGAAACAGTAAGTGTGTGTGCGCAAAGCAAATTCTTTTGGCTTGGTGGCGTGTAGCCAACACACACACACTCACACTTCAATTGATATGGTGGCCCAACAATCGAGTGAAATAAAATAACGAAAGAAAAAAAATTACGAGAAAAAAAAATAAAAATAAAAAAAAGTAGTGCGGTTCAGTTGTGAATTGTGATCATTAGCTACCAAATGTAATGTCATCACCGTTATCATCATTTTCAGCAACAACCACCAACGTCAATGAAGATATCATGTGGTTCGCGGCAAGAGCTTTACTGCTGCTGACATTAATTTCGGATTTCGCAGCAAGCGTCAAAGATAGTAAGTGACCCCTTCATTAGACTTTTAAATTATCACAATAAAGTATAATTTGATGCTGTTTTCATTGCCATTGTATATCATATTAAATGTAGAAAATGTGTGCGTTGTGCAAATTGATGCGTTTTGATACACACACACACACAAGATCGTCCCATTTCGTTTTCGACATCATTCGGGACCAGAGTGTATTATTATAGCACAAGCACATACGCATCATCACTTATCGATCTTCTATATTCCCCCCCAGTGAACTTTTCAAACGAAATATGTTTTTAGGATGCGCATTTAATTCAAATTTATTCGACAAATTTTAACCAAAATAATAATAAACTTTAAACAAATTACATTCATTTCACATTCGATTATATGCATCACATGCATGATACATGTGCGATATGTGAGAGATTATAAATTATTTTTTGGGGACAACTTTTGTCCAACAACTATTCCCATTTTTGCCATAATCATAAACAAATTGCCAATAGAGAAAAACAGATACAAACGCAGCCATGCTTATTAAAACCGACCCAAGCAATTGCATGCCGCGCTTACTTAATGCGTATGAGGAATATTTAGTTGAGGACAAGGACAACGATAATGGCTTGAGTTTGTTATTGGAAAGAACAGAAACACTTGCAAAACACTTATTTATTTATTTTTCAATTTGAATGCAGAGTTATCGGCACCTATTATCTAGTTCTACTTTTTTTGGTCCGACGAAAGAAAAGAATTCAATTTACAATAAATATTTGGTAAATGTACCGTTTAATAGTCCCAACTAATTCTGGTGGCCCAATTTTTTTCTTGTTGATGCCATTCGAATCGTTCGATCGATAAGTGGCCCCATGAAAAAGCACAAAGCATATGCGAGTTTTCAAAACTCCGAATTATCGATGGTTTGTAAAATAATTTCAGCGGTTTTGGTATGGCAGAATTTGTCTTTTTTCTGGGCTGTTGCTGTGGAAAAAAAAATCGCAACACATACAAAGCGTTCAAGCAACACCAAAAAAAGGTGAAGAAAAAAATAATAATTCAATGGCAATGGAGAAAGGAAGTTCCGTTGAAGTGTGTTTAGGAATAAAAGGTGAAAATTTAGATTATGTACGCTTTGACCATTTGAAATTATTCACCTGCGGCACACAATGTGTTTAAAATATTTATTGATGGGCTCAGGTGTAAACTGCTTGCCTATCAACCAAGTAACTGTTCTGGCATCCAATGCTTCCCGTTCATGGCATCTCACACACACACACCCACTCATTTAGGTGCACATACAAACACACATCGTTACATAATCCCGGAGATTAATCTTTCGAGAGCCATTCTCATTGTGATAAACTCCAAGTGTATGTGCTTATGCATGGCGAATAGTGTAGTTAGCAGGATATATCCGATATTTTTGTTTGTATTTGTCCGTCGCATGTATGTGTGTGGATGCGAACAATAATCTTACCTCTGCCGTTTACAAGCCGAAAGCTTATAGTATTATTTGATATGTGTTTCTTGTGTGTGATCCAAAAACCCGAGCCAAACAAAGGCCATATAATACACACAGAGAAATCAACTTCATTTTTGTACGATATTTTTCGAAAAACGTCAAAACACAACCACTGATATTGTATTTTATACTTTTCAATTATCAATGGTTCTTTTATTGAGTGTTAAATTTTACTAAAAAGAATGGGAAAATTATAATTGGGGTTGTGTTTTGACATTTCTCAAAAATGTTGTGGTAAATATAAATGTTTTCCTCTCGGTGCATTGTCGTCCATAACGTGTTAAATTCGAAAATATTTTGAGCATCAACGAAGATGACTGCAACTTGTCGTCCACGACACACAACAAACAATTCAATCCGAAAAAAAGAACATATATAATATACTAATCACCTTTAAAGCTTGATGTATATATAATGTCATTCGTGAATGTGGCATTTGCACTAATATTAGAGCATTATATGTTTATGAATATACGAGCTCATGTATCATTACGACGAATGATGGTGATAGATAGACAATGCGAAAAGCTATGGGCGAAAAGAAGCTTTTTCACTTTTCGTTTACATATTAAGTTACCATACACGCACACAAAATTGTGTTCGAGGCCTAACACCAACACCGGTCGAGAAATTCGAGCAATTATCACTTTTAAAATGACTATAGCCAAAACAAATACAAATATGACATCATCCAAACCGACACGTACGCAGTTTAACCTTGTTTTTCTCGTCATTTTTGCGAATACATATCAATATGGATATTTGACACAAAAAAATAGCGCCGATAGCTGGAAATACATCAATTAATTAAAAAAAATCAATCGAATTAAAAATGGTTAATATATGGCTCCATTTCAAAGCATTACTGATTCGTATCGGTGAGGCTGTGATTTCCGAAACAAAACATCCCGCAACATGAGCGCCACTGATTTGCGTGTTGGTTGAAACAGTTTTTAACTGCAACTGCCAAAACAACATTGCACAATGTACATTAGTTTACCTTTTTTATTTAATACAAAATTTCATAGTATCACACGCACACACGGCATGTCAAATAAATTTTATAATTCATACAGCAAAAATTGAAACCTATATATTAATTTATGATGTTTGCCTTGTGTAATGTATACATACATCCACATTGTGTGTGTTACAATTATTTATAGTTTGTTTTGATTTATTTTCAAACTAATGTCAAATATTTGATGTATTTGTTCATATAGGCGTGAGTCGATGATGCATGACTTGCATTCGATTTTTAATTTACATTTTCGAAAATAGACTCACATACTATGTAATTTGTTGTGCAATTGAAAATGTGCGTGTACATATTCAAATATTATTATTATTATTATTCTTGTATAGAGTATGTAACGAAATAAAAAATGTGAATAAAATCAATGTATGATTTACGAAAGCATATTTTTCTTAATTCAATTTCAATGGAATTTAGCATTCACTCGCGCGATACGTCTTCAATGCTGTGGCAAAGCGAATGAGCGATTTTTCCAGGCACATATCACCCATTTTTTTTTAAATAAGATGAAATTCCAAGTGTGCAATGGAATCAACGACTTTGATGACATTAACATATTGAGAGGAAGCAACGATTCAAGATTCAATGAATGTGCATGGCAATGTAACCCTAGTTTAAGTCGAAGTGATAGCGTAAGTTGAATAGAAAGCGAACGGGCACACATCGATTACAACCATACATCGCCATAATTCACAGAAATGTTATCGCTCTTGTTTGTCGCTACACAATTTTCTTTCTCGCCCATTCTCATTCTTTCACATTTCACAATTCGTCGAAACCACCTATACACCACATACAAGCATTGAAATTTTCGATTTGCAGTGATTTCAATTTGTTGAAGTGATTTATTGGTTATTCGAAATGGTATTCGATAAGCAAGGTATATATCGATTTCGATATGTAGAATTGATTGTTTTGTGGATGTGTTCAGTGGAAAGTGAACAATAATAACAAAAGAAAACAAACTCAAGTCCGCATCGATATAAAATATGAGCGCCAACAGCAACGGCCAATAATCACAATCATGAAGGCAACAACAACAATGCTATATCCACATATCCAATTGGAAAATTGAAAACAATCGCCGTGCGACGGCTGAATAGCTATTAGCAACAGATTCAGAGGGGATTGACTGTTTAGTAACAGCCAAGGCGACGTAAAGCTACAATTGTTTTCTTTTTCTCTAACATTCTAAATAATTTTATTGTGGATTTAATAAATAAATCAAATATATGATTTCACAAACTCATTGACGTTTGAGGTGCTCATACAACGTCTCCTTCCGTTCAGCACTTCAAATTTAGGATTGTTGTGCCTTTTCTGTATCTAGATATCATCTCTCCATATATTCCTTTCGTTATTACCGCCATTAGTAGGTTGTTGCCAAGTTGTTGTTGCTGTTCATTTTGTTAGTTTTGTTGGGAATAGTGATACGTTTTGGTCTGTTAGGCATGAGTTGGTAGCAATTCACTTTACTATTATAAGAATATGTGCTGAGTTTTCGTGTCACCATTATTTACATTATAAACATTTTCAATATAAAAAAGAATCCAAACAAAAAACGCAAACCTAACACAAAAAAATTGTTAAAAAAAAAAAAAAAAAAAAAATTAAAGTACACTCGTAAAGACGAAGCAGTGATGGGGTACCGGAGTGTACGAAAATTGGTTAGTGATGCGATTGCGTGAGGAATATAAATAATACGGTTCGACAATACATAACTATCGTTATCAGCATGAAACACCATACTGGATCGATGCACTTATATTGATAGTGTATTGATAACACATTATACCATTCAAAAATATTGATACGAAAAATATTATTATAAGAGGGAAAAAAATATAGTAAGGTATTTTTTGATGATATGCTATATTCACTGGTCTGTCTTTAACTTTTGATGTTTGCCAATCCCATCGCTCGCTCTCTCTTACTCTCCGTCTTTTTCGGTTGGTTAGTCATCGTTGTTGGTTGTGTGATTCACTATCCTTTATTTTGTGTAGCTTGTATGTATGTATACGTTTCTTATGACAAACCACAAAACTCTAGTTACAACATGATTTATATCCCACTCTCACCTTGCAAGACATTGATTGACTTTTTCCATCGATGAATAAATCAGTTTACCATCTTTTTTGCATAAATGCATATTCTATATGAAATCATCTTGTGTGCACGATACGAACGAATTTGTTGAAGTGTGTGCTGTCGCTTTGGTTCGACGCGAGTTGAGTTGTTTGAAAGCAAAAAAAACAGTGGAGCACACACAACCATCTATCTACACCTGAAGCATATGTTATTACCGCAAAAAAATTCATTGATTTAAAGAACACTGAACGAATATTCGAGAGGTAGATTTATTACATAACGGCACGAAAATTTTATTTATGGCACTTTTTTCGTCTTCAATCATAATGTATACGCAATGTAAAGCACACACACACACACCGGGATGATACGATAAAT